AATGCTTCTTAAGCATATCATCTTAAACTCTCATATAAAGTCTTCACAGCATTAGTAAAATAGGTTTTATATTAATTCAAATAATCAGTATACATTACATTAAAAAATTTCAGTCTTCGATAAGGATATTGCATATTTATTAAATTGCAAATATTGGATGTATATACTGCAGATGTTTTATGGTTAGTAGTAGTGATAATTTTTAATTTTTAAACACAATCTTTTAAATTTGTATACAAATATTTAAGAAACCTGCTATAAAAAATATTTAAATGATATTAGTTGTGGGTTTTAATAAAAGCTTATTACAGAAATAATAATAGTAAAAACAATTGAGAAATCATCTTAAATGTCATATCCCATATAACTTCTGCAATGCATATATTATTTTTTCACGAAATAAAGTGCAGGTGTCAATGAAAACTTTAGTTGTTCACATCAATTATTATATAAACGAGTTCATGAAAAAAATACGCAGAGGAGAAAAGGTTACTAGGATAATTTGAAACAACTTCCAGAATTTAATCTTCACAGATGATGATAAAATCTGCAGAGGAGAAAACATTAGGTAAACAATTCGAAAGAACCATCAATCTTCGCAGATAGTATCTGCGTTTTGACACATAAAACCATCGACACGTAGTATAAAACAAATTATCTAGAATTATAAGAACTGACAGTGAAATTTGAATGTTACGAAGATATAACTATGCAGTAGTATCGTGTTAATCGTACAGTAAGAGAACCCAATGACTACATAGTTTAAACCACATTAAACTAGACTACGCAAGTATTCTTTCTTCAAAGTGAAGTGTTGATGAAAGATATACTAGAGAATAACTATCTAATGTATAACAGGCGAGATCGTTGGAAAGAATATAGTGCAGTTCTATGATCCCTTGAGGATAAGATTTGATATTTTACATTCAAATAAGAATAATATTTATATTAAATATAATATTTTTATAATAATATTAATAACGTAATATTATATGTAATTACTCAATATATTTCTAACGCAATACTCTAAAATATTCATTTTGTTTTATAATATATTAAATTTGAGTATAATAATTAATCTGTAAGTATTATTAAAATATGATTAGAACTAGAAACCGTATGCAGAGTTATTTAAATTATAATTTGAAAAATATCTCTCCTATTAAATATTTTTCTGAATTTATAAGAATTTAAATTGTGATGATAATAATAATTGCTGGCATGTAGTGAAGAATATCAAAAGTACAAAACTTTTAAACTTGTTAATTAATTAAATTTTTGGCCAACCATATAGGTTTTTCGAATATTTTCAGATACCTGTTTTTAGTGATGTTTAGAAATAATTTTCGCATTTATTTTTTATATATTGGATATATATATAATGCTAAGAGTTTCAGTGGAGAGGCTTACACTTGAACCGTGTAAAAAGTAGACTTACGTTTAAGACATCTGCATTAAAGTCGCATTGTGGCATTTTTTAATCATTTATTAAATAAAAATCAATTAATTTGTGGCGCTTGGTTCTAAAGACTAGAGAAAGGCATTTATATTAATTTTTTTTCCAAGAATATTTAATTTTAAACAATATATTATATTATAAAATTTTAACTAAAATCTGTTTTTCAATTTTTATGTTATTGTATTCTTGTATTCGTAAAGTCTGACAAGTTCAGTTTATTAAAACATATATTTACATTGATTTAAGAAAATTTCTATTTCTTAATTCAATTAAAATGAATAAAAAATGTCAGGTACCTTATAAGTGTAATTAAAATATTATGTCGAGTCTTATGTCTATGGGCGAGTCTAGTCTAATCAAGAAATTGAACAAATATACCTTCAGCTACATTTCTTTTGTGACATTACAATGTAAAAAAATTGGTGTTATATGAAATTTATTACTACTCACTCTATATCCACTCCATATACCATACAGCGTAGAATTTAAAATTTAATAAATAGAAATAATATAACATTGAACGATTTTTAAATAAAATAATTTTAGTTTCTTTCTAAAATAATAATTATATAAATAAAAAAAAATAGTTATGTATAAAAACTTCTTATAGTTATTCCTTAAATTTTTTTCGTATTGTCTTATAAAGCCTTTTTAAATATTATTAATTATTTACATATTAATTTTATTTTCCTGAAATTCGTTAAACTTTAATGTATTAGTATTAAAACTCAGAAATCTGGAGAATTTAAATAGAAATTAAGCTGAATGAAAATAATACAAAACTGCACGTTAAATAATATAAATATAAATATAAATTTAATAAGAATATTAAATTTAATGTTTACTAGGCAAATCATTAAAATATATATTTAAACAAAATATATTAAAGTTAAATCTATTGTAAACATGAAATATAACAACAATAATTAAAAATTTATATTTTTTCCATAAAATCCCGTTTTAATCCATTAATACTAGTGTGTAGTGTATTATCAACTTAAACATTGGTATTAAAAATGTAATTTATTATTTTAATTCAAGGCGTATACAATGAAACTATGTATCTCAATGTCAAAGTCAGTTTTATTGTCAAAAACCGCAAAGCTCGGTGTTAAGCCAGGCTTGGTTGACGGGCGCGTGCTAAGACAAACGGCTCATTACTTCACGCATTTTAGGTTACGCCTTTCCGCATTTTCCTCGCTGCATTGCCCGCTTTAACACAACTCCTCACAATAGAAGGTATAAATAATTTGTCTCTTGTATTAGCGGTGCAATCTCTTCTAATTTCTACTGATTGCGCTATCATATAATTTAAGATAAATGAAAGTATAAATATTACTTAAACATGACAGCTGTCATGTTTCGGTTTTTAATGCGAAACTCTCTGCTGGAAAGTTGACAGTTGTTAACAAAAATGGAAAGACGCTCTCAGCATTAAAAGCCATTCAAAAACATATTAATTTAGTGAAGTAATTAATGGTTCCACTGAATCAAATTTTAAAACAAGATTCTTCCTTAAGACATTTATTGTTTTTCATCTTAAGCTGTAAAAAATGCTGTTGAAAGCTGCACCCAGTGAGCGCACGACTTCGGGTTAGTGTGTGGAAAGAGGTGTGAAAGATTTTGATACAACCAAAATACAATAAAATGGGTCAAGATCAAGGTTTAAATCTTAAGCAATAAATTTAGCCAATTTTTATTATTTTAATTTTTGAAGGAATGTGTTAATTATGAAATTTTTATTTTAAACAAAAACATTTTTTTAATATTTATACAACACATATAAACATGGCTTAACTATTTCACCAGTATTATTTCATAAATTAATGTAGATAGTTTAACTTATTCTCAATATTTTATAATTTCGTCCATTTCAATGAAGATAACTACAAAAGAAAATGGGGATGTCGAGAAAAAATAATACATATGTATTTTTGAAGTGCTGTTAAAGTGTTAAAAAATTAAATATATATATTTCTTTCATATATGTAAAAAAAGTGAAAATTATATTTTTAGCTATATAGCAATATTGACCAATTATCCCAATTTCATGAAAAAAAATTAAATAATAATAAACAAATAGTAATATAGAATCACTTTTAAAGACAAAAATTATTTACATATATTAATGGAATTTCTTCTAATATATTTAGCATTTAAAATTAATTTTCTGTTAATATTGTTAAAAATTTTCTTTTTACCATCAATCAACGTTTGAACTATATCTTACAATTAATAACATAAACAACATTTTGTTCTGACCTTATTAAATATTATAATATTTATAATATTTATATTCGGAATATTATTTTGTTAACCATATTGATGGTTACTTTGAGTTAGGTAGGAGTAGGTCTAATGCGCCAAACACCACCTATGCTCCATTTATGGTTCATTGTGGTACCACGAATAAAGGTTTTTATTAATATATTTATAACAAGTTAAAGATTTCATAAAAGTTTTTGTTTTCAGTTTAACGAGTATTGGATAATTGGATAATTTATCTAATTGCATTGACAATAATCTGTTTAATAATATTTTATACAGTATGCATTACTTGGTATTCTGATATAATAAATATAATTCAGTCCTTCAGTACCCTTCTCATTCCAGGATTCAGTATACATATGTGCAGGTTAAATTATTACTGAACTTTTACAGTAATTAATAAAACTCCAAATTTGATCAGTTGGCTAATGAACACTGACTCTGAGCTTCAAATTTGACAGGGCACGAGTTCAACCCTTGATATTTGCAATTTCAAAAAATTATTTACGAATAATTAAATATAAAAAATAATTTCAAGATTATTGTTGTTGGGTATTTGGCAATACTTGCGTATTTGGCAATACTTGGGTATTATTGTTAAGCTATAAAATTGTGGTTGTCTATGTTTTATTTACGTTGGATTATATAAATTTAGTGAATGCATACAAACTACACAAGACAACATCATTTTTGTTGTAAATTTGTCTTTTTTTAAGCAGTATGATAAGAGAAAATAAAAAAATAAAATAAAAAATAATACATACGTGAATATCTACAACAACAATGCTAGTGGTAAAATAAATAAGTTTATAAATAAATATCTTTTTACACTCAAAAATGACTGAAGAATCAGATAAAATACTTCTATCATCGTATATAAAATGTTTAAAATATTTTAAACTTTAAAAAAGATGCATATTCTTAAAAAATAGGGTAGTTCCCTATATTTCATAAATGAATATGAATATCGTATTAAGAAGACAGCATGTCTTTGTTTGTTACAAATATAGATAAATATATTTAAATAAATAAATGTAATATAATGTAACTATTCAAGTCATTTAGTAATTGATTTAATAATATAATTATAACGATACAACTAAATAAATAAATAGTAAATTTAAAAAGAACAAATTTTTTTTTCTTCCTTCAATTTCAGTTCACATGCTTAAAAATTATTTTATTTATTGAAAACTAAATTATTTTTCTATTGTGTGATATACTCTTATGCAACAATTAATTTCACAAAAAATATATTAACATATAAAAAAAATCAATAAATAATTATATCTGAGCAGTACTCACCTCCTCCATTTATAGCATTGGAGCAGTGCTTTGCACTCACGCCGTTTCCCGCATTTGAAGTTGAATTTTGTATGCCACCACTCATCACACCATATTTCAATGGCTTAAAATGAAAGAACGATGGTGAATACCCCGAACCAGCACGACTCAGTGAACTAAATTGTTCTTCACGATCTTCGACGTAGAGGCCTTCTTTGCCCATTGCAGCCAATTGTCGCCCTTTTGGCATAAACATAACCAAAAATACCGTAGCAGAAGTAGCGACTAACCCAAAAGCAATGCAAGCATCCTTATGTCGCTCCGCAACAGCTAATCCGCATAGCATCCAACCAAGCCAAATTGGTATAGCACCACCAATAGCCAAGCCAATATACGTGGCCTCACGATAATTATCACGTATACCACGCGATTTGATCGCCAATACCGCCACAAACACAATCAGGAAAATTATATAGATAAGTGAAAATAAAAATTCGGAAAATTGTGTCTTACACAGCGGCAATATAACCGTGCCAGCTGCAGTGATGCGTGTATAGAGATCAGCACCAGCTGATTGTGCAGCAGGACGAAAAAGTGCAGCAAATGTTGAGGCTGCTGATGTAGCACCACTGGGTGCATGTAAACTAGACGCTACAGTGGAAGCTAGCAAACCACTACCAATGACTGGCACACTAAGCGTATAAATTTCGGGTGGTTGTGTTAGTAACCATTGCGCTCCAATCGCTACTTGTATCAGCACAGCAAACAGCAGTAGTAAACCCTGGTAAGGTGCAGGCAAATAGACACCACCATTTAAACTAATCAAAAATACACATTTGACCAGAAGTGCTGCAAAGACTAACGCATATGCAACACCAACACCAAAACGTATTGCACCGCAGCTCAGTAACGATGGTTGTGCTGTAATTACCGCACCTAAACCAGCACATGCGAATAGGCCCAAGAGCAACATTTGACCCAGAAATAGATGTCGCCTTGAAGGTGACGTGCGCCATGCCTTAAATAGCACAAATATTTCAAATGCTCCCATCATTAGCATAGTCAGCGAAGCTAGTACTAGCACTGGCACAACCCAAGGTTCTTTACGCAAACCTGTAAAAGGCGTTTGTATTGGTACTATTGTGGGTGGTGTTGATGTTGAGTTCACTATAGCTGTAGTTTTTGGTGCCACAATTAGCACTGAACGCGGACTTGGCGGTGGTGGATGAATATACGCAGGTACACCTCTTGATTTTGGACCTGCACGCGGTGTAGCGCGAGTTGTTGTGGTCGATGAACTCGTTGGCACTAAAAAGAATTCTGTTGACATGACGACCAAACGATCCGCCTTCGACATATTCGATGAGGCAAGCGACACTAATGGCTGTTCGATAACATCAGCCATATTACTATCCTCACGCCGATTTAATTGTTTTGCTTGCCTTGACTTTGGCTTTCCGGCAAAAGTTTCATAGTCGCTATCCAACGTGGTGACGACCTCTGTAAATGAATCGTTCTCTTCACTCTTTTCAATAATATTATTATGCACTTTTGCACTATTTTCATGACTCACTACATAATCACTTTTATTTAATAGACTATTTACATGCTTATCATTTGCAGTCGTACTAGGCACCGCTTCTGGTCTCGCAACACTTAAGTTATTCACATTTTTCTTACGCAATGGCAATAAACGTTCACCGAATTTTGGCTCGTGCGCACTGCGGCCAACAGCCATTGACCCATTATCCGCGTAACTCGCAATAGCCGCGGCATCAAGTGCAAACGCTGCGTGCTGCACTTGCAACACGCAAATTATACCGATAACACTGAATAATGTGTGCCTCTGCACGCGTATATGCGTTTTCGATTTCGGCATTTCAGGCGCTTTTGTTCTTATTGCGTTCAGCCAGTTAGTTGCGGCCATCGACCGTCTATCGTGACGGACCATGCCTAACTGATATTTTGACGGCACACTGCTAGCATTTGTGTGTTGCACCGCATGGATTTATGTTGCTGCAACACGCACGCATGCAACACACAGTGCCCAACACAATAGAAAAGAAAAGACGGATCGGAAATCTTTACACGTTCTTCGAGTTCTTTGAATATATCTTTCTTTCTTTGTTTTTGTTAACCACACAGCACAAGTTTCGCGTTCACGCAAGCGCCCGTCTGCTTGCGTGCAAGCTCAATTCACTCGTACGTTCTATCTTTCGTTACTAATTTTGTGGGTAAAGCGTGCGCGCTTCTTTCTTATTTTCTCGTTTCTTTAACCGTTTCTCCGCGAAGCACATCCGTAAGCTTGGCTCGACCGTCGTAGACTGAATTGCTTCGTTTGCTGCAAAGTTTGTTTGACTTTGTTAGTTGCTTTATTTGAAACTTGGCGTTTGGTTTCAACTTGTGTGCTGCAAGACTTCAAACCAAGTTTAGAGTGGAACTTCACTTCATCCAAACACAACCGAAGATGTGTGCGTGCAGCGAGTAAGAATGAGCTTAGAAGATAAAGAATTCTCTTAACCTTGGCTTTGGTTTGAAGATCATCAACAACAACAAAAATATTATTTAAGTGCTTAATAGCACACAAAATTGCGTGTAATTTGAATTTAAATATTTAGAATTAAACAGTAATTAGGTCAAGGCCCTTAGGGAGTTGCTTCAAACCATTTTTAATAATTAGAGTTTTCGTTAATTGACCAAATGACCAAATGACATAGAAAGTGAATTTAAGTCAACACAATTAAAGTATAAAAAATATTTAATAATACTATTTTTCAAAATTTATAAAAATAATTTCTTATTCAGAGGGTTTCAAATAGCAAAGAAAGAAAGGTCAAATACAAAAATTTTAGTTAACTTATTGAAAATTGACTGACCGTATAACGCTGTTTCAAGTATTCCCAAGTACTCATCATCAATGGCCTTAGGAAATATTCGGATTTCTTAATTAGTTTATAGTTCGTATATAATTTGTTTGGACGGCAAGTGCCAATCTTAGAACTCATGCCTGTTAAATTAGTTCTAAACCTGGCAATTGCAGACCAAACAAATTATATATGGACTATAAACTAATTTAGAAATTCGAATTTTTCCTAAGACCACTGATGATGAGTAATTATGATGAGTGCAATACTCGAAACAGCGTTGTATGGTCAGCCAAATTTTAATAAATTAACTAAATTTATGTGTTCTTCCTTTTTTTTGCTATTCGAAACCCTCTAAATTTTACAAAATAAAATAACTTTTCTCTCTTTATAAGAAAGCGTAGCTTTATCAGCAAAACTAATTAAACTTTAGTAATTTCTTATCCCAAAATAATGTAAAAACACAGACGTTCAGTTCACTGAAAGAATTTGCCCATAGGTGACATACAGTTTTAGTAGAGGTGAATTAAATATTGATCAAACGTTGCTTTAATGTCAAGTCTAACGGATACTTATATTGTAAGGAATTTTTCAATATAGTGTCCCACGCTAACCAACTTTAGTGGCGAAAATTCAAATAATAAATTTTTGAGCCACACGTACTTCAGTTATATTAACAATGCAGATTGATTTTGCTCTATTATAAAATATCGTATTGTTGAGTATATTATGTGTCTATATAAAACAATAATAGAGTTATTATTTTCAAGAACTTTTAATTCTCATTTACTTAGTAATTTACATTAAATATATGCAATGCCAATACTATATAACGATAGCATCTGTCTTATTTTAATATATCAAGCCTCAGTGATGAAAAATTTATTTAAAATTACGTTCTATTAATGAATATTTTTGGCACAGCAAATTTTGTTTAGTGTTTTATGTTTGGATATTTTACTCTATTTATACAGAGTCATTCCTAAATCTTACATAATGTATTTTATAAAATGTCTTTGTGTTTCATTGTTTTTATGTCTTTCTGCAATTTGTAGTTCAAATCAGACCAAATGTTTGGTGTTTTATGTTTGTAATAATCGTAGCAGAATTAAAAAATGTTTCAAAAGGAGTTGTTTTGTTTAACATTCTCCAATTTGAGATTCCCAAAGTAAATATTAATTAAATACATTTATGACCAAGATTTAGAACAAATTTGTATTTTAATTTATTGTTTGAATCTTGGTGTTAGGTGTGAAATATAACATAATTCAAATGTTCTCCACGGGACACTACACACTACTTGACGCTTTCAGTATAATTTTTAATTACTTGTCAGAATATGGCTAATATTTAGCCATTATATAAGAATACTAATATTCTTCCATAAATTTAACTTTTATAATAATAGGGTCTTCGAAATAGTTTCTTTAATACAAAGTACCTTGGTTAATATAGACCCTAACACCACTTCCCTAACACCATTTATACCTTACTTACACCTTACATACTCAAACAATCATCTTCTTATCTAAAGGTATAACACATATAAGTAAACTTGTAACGAGTAAAAGATAAAATAATATAATTTGTACTGATTGGCGAAATAGTCGTTATTATTACTAAAAAAATAATGAAGTATGCAACAACAATATTTTTGTGTAATATTGATTTTTTTATTATAGGTTGATAAAGGATACGACCTTAGCAATTCTTGCATATACTCCTAGATAATTAAGGTAAACACAACATAAATCCCATGAAACAATACCAGCAAGTTCATTACTGAAAACTGTTGAACCACCACTGTCTTCTTCTCGAGCGTCAACGCCTGGCTCTTTGAAGAACAGTCTAGAATTTGTTAGATTTTTATCTAAGGATTTTTAACCTTTAATATCAACTTCATTGGTGTTATGATCTTGAGAGGTGTGCTGTTCCTGTATGAAATCAACTCAATCATATCTATTAATTCAAGACTCCATAAATCATTCAATTCAATAAAGCTGGATAAAAAGACTATGTGTTTCTTTACAATGAGAATGTAGACACAGATAAGGTGAATTCACATATCAATCCATATTTAATAGAATCTGCAGATTTTAGTGACAATTTAAGTGACTTCATATTAGTCAACATTAATTTAATTTAATTAAATATTAATTTAGCCTAAGAAATCTGTAAATATTTTTATTGTTATCCCGAAAGATAGATGCAATTTATTTACTAAAACTTTTCAGCTAAATTTTCTAATTTGACATATATTTCTTTAAATATCATTTACGTAAAATTGAAATTGATAATTACGGATTACGGCAATACTCGTGAGTTCCACATCAGTTTTAACAATCCTGTGAATACTACATCAGATACGTGACTAAAAATGCATTTGACAGTACTCCAAGATATCACATAGTGTAATCAAATATTTATTATTTTATTTACTTTTGTGATATAATGTTAATCAAGACAATCTATTCGACTCAATATAGTAAAAGCTAGTCAACTAACTGTACAATATGATCCTAAATAAAGACTTTAAATAACTTAAAGCAATTTATCCGGAATAAAGACTTTAAATTACTTAACATAATTAAATTACAAAATTAATTAACAGTTAATTAATTAAAGTAACATTAATAGACTTTCATCATAAACCCGTTATCTTCAAATACGTAAGCAGTCAGTACCTTAAAATGACTTAAGTATATATATTTGTACAAAAAGTAATAACAATAGGTCCTTAACAATATATCCTGATGATTACATTTTTGAGGATTTCCCAAATACAGTGTCTTACGTAATAACAGAGTTCAACTTTCTTCTTCTTTAATTGTTTATTCAAAAATTGAATGTTTTGTTTATTGTTTATTCAAAAATTGAATGTTGAATAAACAACATTCAAAATATTTTGAAATTTTTCTTTGTCTCTAGCAGTATGAACCAAGTCTCCAATCGTTCTTAACACATCGAATGTTCCTCATCCAAGACATTTGTTTTCTTTCCATGTGGTGTTTGCCTTCGACGCTCTTCTCATTAACTTTTTCAAGAAGAAGTTGAAGATCCTCTATACTATCAGCTATGAGTGCTATGTCGCCTGCGTTTATAAATGTGTATAAATGTACCATTTACCTTAATGTCTTTGTCTAGATCGTTTATGGAATCCTTAAAGATTTTTTTGAATAAATGTTAAAGAAAAGTCGAGACAGAATGCATCCTTGGCGAACACGTCTGCTGATGATTAAGTTTTAGACGATTACATCTTACAGCTTCAACTCAGCAGTTTGGTTCCAATACAAATTTATCATCAATGTTATAATTTTATTGTATAAGCCCATATTTTTTTAAGATTTGTATGAGCTTATAATACACAATAAAACACAATAAAAAACTTTTTCATAATCGAAGAAACAGATGAAAACGTCTATCTGAACATCTCTACAATTATGCACTACGACTTGAAGCTAATGTTAAATTAAATTTAAATTAATTTCCAAAAGTTTAACTTTAACGTAAATAATACTGCAGAGAATTATTACGCCTTCATGTAATAAGATTTCTGTTGAGTTATATCTAATTTCTTGGTTAATGACTGTTTTAACAGGGCACTGGTCTGTAGGACGGCATAGGGCCAAACTTGGCCTACCCTGTAGTATCTCTTGTAGTATATATCGACCGGCATCGAGAAAAATACACCATAACACCTATGGCCACTACCAGGCTTTTGCTTTTAGTTGCCCGCTTCTTTAACACACTCGGCGATATTTCCAGCATTAGCATTAAACAAACACCCGCATTCATCAATGCTTCCGGTTGGTTCCAACGTGATCATTTTTCTATCGACTATTACGCGAGATTGTGGAATCAAAACGAATGTCTTCGCTAATTGAGCAGGACTTCTTAACCCCTTTAATTTTACCTAACCGAACTTAATATCTAATGCTGTTTGACATTTTTAATGATGGATGTGATGTTGGGTATTACAGAGCGGCTTCCTTACATGAACTCCTAATATTTTCCCTAAAGACAATAGAATTGTTTGCATTATAAGCATAACTTATATGTCTTAATCAACATATAAGTTGATCAATCGTTTTATTCTAAATAATTATTACGAATCACATTTGCATAGTTGTGTCAGCAGTACGACGTTTCTTCAAACTATAAAGATGTAATCGGACTACTAAATCTGCACTACCGCAACAGGAAGCCTTAAAACTTTTATGGGCTTCAAAGTTACGCAATTATGCGAAATTTACGTTAACGGTAAAAGAAATTCCAAATTCTGCATTACTCGTAATTAAGTACTTCGAAAACAACGTAACAACGTAAAGTCAATAAACTTATGTTACGACTGCATTACGTCATGTAAATAAGAATAAAAAATTGAGACATAAAGTGCCAATATGCAAACGATTTATCAACATTTACCAGTAGAGACAATACGAAGC